AAAATTCTCAGTCTGAGAAAACACGAGTGTTTCCTTCCTTGCATAAACATCAGCGTTTTCCTTCAAGTAACTCTGATGTTCCGCAGGGACAGTCTTCCACAGCCCTCCATATCAGTCTGATAGTGCAAGATCCACAGACAGCGAGATATGAATGCGTATACATTTAGCACCTAACACATCATTAATCCTGCTATGGGTGTGTTTTTCTTTCTTTTTGAAGAAGAGTGGGAATTGGTTATGTGTTCTGGCTGTTACAGGAGAATTGTGAGTACCACACAAACACACATTTCATTCCCCTCTCCCTTCATCCATATCACACATCATCTTTAAAATTCCTTCGATAAGACTGGGAGAGAGATGAGATGCCTGATGATTGGGTTGTTGGATAAATGAGGAGGAGGATATGTGATGGTCTCGCTACAGACAAAAGGGCCAGTCATAATAACAAAGAGCTCAGACAGGCTCCCTGTGGACAAGAAACGTACACTACAGACAAGACACAGCATAACAGACTTCAAACAGCACTCTGCTGGAGTGTGATACACAGTACAAAGGTACAGAGAAACATCTCATTATCTCTGAAATCTCTAGGAAACTAGCCGCGCTCACTGAGGTGAACATGAGAAGAACCCAACTGCTCAAGCTGTTTTTCCCCTATCTTGACTCCAACACAACTCTAGAGGGACATTGCTGTCTGACCTCTGCCTTGTCCCTAACCGCAACAAAACAAACTGCATGCATTAGACACCTCTCTCATTTGCTTGTTTTGTGTAATTCAGTAATATTACAAAAAGCAATATTGGAAATATTATTATTTTGAATAATAGAAACAGTGAACTCAGTCACCAGTGGAGTCCTACTCTCCGAATCCATCGGCAACAGGGCGGTATGCGGGGCAAGTGTGGTAGTCTGTGAGCGCTGCGGTTTGGGGACTTCCCAACAGAGGTCACGGGGTCAGGCCACTTAGCCCCCCTCCGTGCTCCCAGTAGTATACTCCAAGAGAACCCAAAAAGAACATGGAGGTGCTAGAGAAAACACAAACAGATCCTTGATTGTACCGAAGATGTAAACTAAACAGATTAGACATTTGATTTTGTCCCGCTACCAGTAACCACCTTACAGAGAACCTGATAGATCCCATTTAGTTATAGAGCCTAAACCTCACTGGTAGAACCACAGAAATGATGGTCATGGCACCCCATTTCTTAAAGGCCCAATGCAGTCAAAAACATGATCTTCCTGTGTTTTATATGTATTTCCACATAATGAGGTTGGAATAATACAGTGAAATTGTGATAATTTCCTTTTAGTGTAAGAGCTGCCTTAAATTTCAGTGACATCACCATGCGGTAAATTAGTATATATTTTTACCGTCATTTAACTAGGCAAGTCAGTTCTGAACAAATTCTTATTTACAATGACGGCCTAGCCCTGCCAAACCTGGACAACTGTGCGCCGCCCTATGGGACTGCCAAGCCCAGCCAGTTTGTAACACAGCCTGGAATCGAACCAGGGTCTGTAGTGACACCTCCAGCACTGAGATGCAGTGCCTTAGACCTCTGAGCCACTCGGGAGCCCAGTTAACAGATCAATAAGAAAGAGAGTTCCAAACCTCTCTGCCAATAACATCTAATTTTCAGTTTTCCCCTCCCCACGCAGACCACTTCCAGACAGTCCTAGAAAAATTATTTATTGCGAAATTGCTCTTTGCTAAGAAGCTATTTTTGTAAATTTTTGACCATTTTAATTAAAAACAAGGAAGGTACTTCATTATTACCCAGAATTGATTTGATATCGAGATAAAAACGGATGCATTGGACCTTTAATGTTTGTTTATTTCCAGTCTCCTATCAGTAGGTTAGTCATATTAGATCAACTATCATCACAAGAGCGCTACAGGTTTATATTGTCATTTGTTTTCTATTAATTACTGCCCATTTCTCTTCTGTCATCAAATTAGTGCAGGGAGAGGCCACTCCTAATGGACTTAATGATGATTACAGACAATATTGGTTTCGTCTTTCAGTAAACAGCCACCGGCTGCTGGAGAATAAATTATGGCTACAGATAAATCAATAGGCTACAGTAGAGAACAACACAAGTGAGTTCTCAAAGAGACTGGATTATTTTAGCTTCCAACTTCTCATGGGTCCTTTGGGGGTCCCATGTTCTTCACAGGGGGCCACTTGTAGCTCCCACAGATTCCCACAGAGACAAGGATTATCTCCCGTCAGCTCCAGAGTGTCTCAGTGCTCAGCCCAGCACTGCCTGCCTGTCTCATACAGGGCCTGGTAATAGGAACATGGGCGCAGTGGGGACGGTCTTATCTGCTGTTAAGCTTGCCCTTGGGGAATGGAGAGGCAAATACCACTTATTTGCTTCTTCACTCCCTTTCTCCATCCTAATCCCCCCTTTCTCCCTCCTTAGCCTTTGTCGGTAGATTATCTGGCTACCCCAAATCCTGTCAGAACCACACAGGGGGTTAAGACTGGAGGGGAGATGGAAACATAAAGAGGGGAATAAGAGAGGGACCTCAATGCCCCAAATGCTCCCTTCAATGCCCCCTTCAATGCCCTCTTCAATGCCCCATTCAATGCCCCATTCAATGCCCCCCTTAGTCCCACCAGGGAGCCACGAAAACAATGGTTCAATAACTATGTTTCTCTGAGTTTTTGGTGATGCTCCATTTGGCTAATAGACTACCGTCATGGTAATGGTAGCTTAATGGTCCATAATGTACAATTAGACAGCAGGAACACAGTGTGAAACAACACAAACTCAACACAACCCTTTGTCTCCACTCGTACTGTATGATCACATAGTGAACAAACACTATCCCCCTCTCTAACGATACAGGTCCATCTCCACAACCTCCCTTTTTACAGCAGCAGCCCAGACACCCCATCTGTCTGTCCTGACCTGT